TGGCAGGGGAGGGGTTAGGGGCAATCAGGCAGGCAGGCAGGCAGGCAAGCAGTTAGGAGTCAGCGGTCCCAGATTGTGAGAGGCATGTCCAACTGCCCTGTGATCGGGCCTAAACCAGCAGTCAGACATCCCCTTGGGGTCCTGGATTGGAGAGGGTGCAGTCCGGGCTGAGGGATCACTCCCCATGCACAAATTTCATTCATGGCCCTCTAGTCTATATTATAAAAGCCCTGTGGCCCTAACACTGTAACGACCAAAGACCGGTGCGGGTGGCCGGAACATGTGTGGGTGGGTGGGTCTGTGAGTGCAGCGGGGTGTGTATGGGTGGGCAGGGCTGTGCAATTTCATGCTCTGGGCTTCTAGTTAGTATATAATATGCACTATACACACACACACATATTATATTGTATTATATTGTACTAGGGGCCCAGTGCACAAATTCATACACCTTGAAAAGAACTGTGGGCCTCAAGGCTGCAGTGGGCACAGGGGTGGGTCTTGGCCCATCCTCCACGTCCCCGCCCGGACCCTCCCACCTCGGTCCCTCGTCCCCTGTCTGCCGGCAGCCCCGCTTCCGCTGCCACTGCTACCATGCGCTGATGGTGCCAGCCCTGCTCACACCCGCTGATGGCATGGAGCTATTGGGGCCAGTGCCAGCAGCGTGTGTGAGCAGTGCTGTCAGCGGGTCTGAGTGGTGGGTATTGCCCCGATTGCCCCTCAGGAGTAGGGGGAGGTGGAGAAGCCCTCAGGGGCGATTGGGGCCGGCAGCCACGGCTCGCACACACGTGTAGCACCAAGTGATCGATACCAGCACCGGGCGCTGGCAGCAGGTGCTAGTGCTGCTCCGGCACTGGCTGTGGGTGTGAGCAGCAGTTTCAATGCTGGCAGTGGGTGCAAACAGGGCCATCGCTGGCAGTGGGTGCAAGAGGCGGCTGCCAACCCCAATCACCTCTTAGGGCTTCTCCACCTCCCCCTGTTCCTGGGAGGCGATTGGGGCTGGCAGCCACCACTCGCACCCACTGCTGGCAACGAGTGATCGGGGCCGGCACTGGGCACCGGCAGCGGGTGTGAGTGGGGCTGGTTCCGGCAGCAGGTGTGAGCACTGGGCAGGACCGCAGCATGCAGGAGCAAAGAATTTTCAGTAACCACAAGAGGCTCACCCGATGACAGTGACTGGCACCCCGCCTTGGTCTGGTGCCCCCACTCACCTGCTCCACTATCCTGCCATGGCCAACTCCCACCATGTTCCATGCTCTGCCACCTGCTGCCGATGCCTGCCATGTTCTGCACAAGCCCCCTGGCGGTCAGAGCACATCATAGCAACTGGTTGTTTGGTTGTTCCAGCAGTTGGTCTATTTGCATATTAGGGTTTTATATAGAGAGATTGTATATAGTTTCTCATCCTGTTTTATCACTTGAAATATTTTTAAAAATTTTCTGCATTAGGAAATATTCTTCAAAATATTACTTTTTTCACTGTTGCATAATATTACACTATATGAGTGTACCATAATTTGTTTATTTAGAAATAGAATAATATCGTGATGATCATCTTATACATATATTTTCATGGAGGTATCTGATTATCACGCTAGGATATATTACTAGAATCAAAATCACTGATCAAAAAATATAGTATTTTTAAGGCTCTTAATCCATATTGACAAATTTCCTCTAGTTGTACCTAATTTACACTCCTCCAGCTGGTATGAGTACCAGCTTCACTCTACCCTTATCAATGTTGGATGTTATACTTTAAAAAAAAATCTTCGTCATTTGCATACAGATAGAACTTAGTAGGATGACATTGATTAATAGGATTATATAGGTTTCAGGCATACAATTCTATGATGCATGATTTGTATATTGCATTGTGTGCACACTACCCAAAGTCAAACCACCCAAAGTCGAACCATCTTCTGTCACCATATATTTGGCCCCCTTTACACCCCCTCCCTTCCCTCTGGTAATCATACTGCTGTCTGAGTTTATGAGTTTCAGTTTTATATACTACATATGAGTTAAATTACCTGTATATGGTTCTTAGTTTTTTTTTTATTTTGCTTAGCACAATATTCTCAACATAATATTCATGTTGTTGCAAATGGCGATATTTCTACTTTTCTTATGGCTGAGTAGTATTCCATTGTATATGTGTACCACATGTTCTTTATCCAGACCTCTATGGAAGAATACTTTGGTTGTCTCTATGTCTTGGCCACCATGAATAATGCTTCATGAACACAGGGGTACATATATGTTTGTGAATAAATGTCTTTGAGGTTTTAGTTTAGATACTTTATTTTTTTTAAGGATATTATTTTAACTTGCATTTCTTGAATTGAGTTGGTTAAATATGTTTTGGGCCAATTTTATTTTTTCATATGTAAACTGCATATTCCCTTTGCCTATTTTTTATATTTCTATGTTTATCTCTTTTCTTATTGATTTACAAGAAATATTCATGTACTTTAGGTCTTGACATTCTATAAAAAATGACCTACACTGTTTGAAACTATCAAGATCATGAAGTAACTATCTTCATTTTCCTTAGGCTCAACTAAATCTCGAGGTCTCTAGTTCATCTGTCTTGATCAATTTGATCTATGATAATGTCCACCATCCTAAAAAGCTACAGCATTTAAACCTTATTTTGTTTATTTTTTACTGAGCAAATACCTCCTCTCCCCCAAACAAATATACCCTGTTTGAGGGTATATGTACCCTTTGGCATCTTCTGCATGATAAGGGTTCTATTAACTCTAGCACCTATTCTCTTCTCATACTCAAAGAACCTGAGGTACATTTAAAAATATTTTTATTGATTTAAGAGAGGAATGAAGAGGGAGAGGGAGAAAGAAAGATCAGTGATGAGAGAGAATCCTTGATCAGCTGCCTCCTGCACACCCCCTACTGGGGATAGAGCCTGCAACCAGGGCATGTGACCTCCTGGTTCATAGGTGGACACTCAACCACTAAGCCACAGGGGCTGGGCCTGGGATACATTTTAATAATGACTCTATTTCACACAGAATTTAAATATTCAGACTCAACATTGTGAGTAGAAAAACAAACATTTTTAATCCTTAAGTGATGGGGAAATGTAGACAGAGATTAGGTGAGTTATTTAAGATCTGCTTAATTCTTATTTATTCTCTACACCAAACCAAAAATTATCCACCCTTCTGTAGTTGACCAGTAGTCAAAAACAGAAAAACTGTAGTTTAAGGCTATTTAAGAATGATGATCTTCCCTTAGTCCTGGATTTCTAGGATTCTAGAAAGATGTGGCTATTTGCTACAAAAATTGGTGATAATGGGGGAGGGGGAGAGCAATTTTACCTTGGCTAGGCTTGGCTTATGCCACCTTAACTAAGAGATCAAAGCTAACATCACTAGTAATAAGATATATCTATATCTATCTATCTATCTATATCTATCTATCTATCTATCTATCTATCTATCTATCTATCTATCTATCTGATATGATGCCCAAGAAAGGCAAACGTCACTTCAGTGGTATTTATGCTGAAAATACATACCTGAATCTAATCACGAGTATCTATCAAACAATCCAAATTGAGAGAGCTTCTACAAAATGACATCCTAAAAGACAAGAAAAGACAGGAACTTCCACAGATCAGAGAAGACTGAGGAGACATGACAATTTTTAAATCTTTTTTGTTAATTAATTAGTTAACTAAATACAGTGTAGGATTCTGGAATAGATCCTGGATCAGACAAAGGACATTTGGGCAAACTGGTAAAATTCAAATAAGACCTTTAGCTTAGTCAATAGTATTGTAGCAGTGTTAATTTCCTATTTTTGATAATTGTACTGTGGCTATTTATGTAAGATAATAACATTAGAGAAAGTCAGGGGAAAGGTATACAGAAATTTTCTGTACGCTTTTTGTAACTTCTATGTAAATCTAAAATTATTTCAAAATAAAAAGTTGAAAAATTGAAGAAAAGAAAGATGAATTAAATTCTATATGTTGGAGAAAAAAGTCCTCTATATTTTTCATGGAGAAAAAAAAATAAGTCCCCAAATTTCACGGATCACATCAATTATTTCCACTCATCAATATGGTCACTTTTACCTTTATAATATGTGTGTAATCTAGGATGCCTTTCAGCATGTGGAAGAGTCATTAGCTGTTGTTGGAGAAGTTATATTCAGTGGTATACAGCAGTCATTCACTAAATAGACATGCCAAGTGCTGACAATACAAGGATGAGCAAGATAAATAGATCCTGGTCTCCTGGAATTTCCAGTCTTATTAACAAGAAAGATAAAATCAGAAATTATTGTTTTTGGTGGTTTTTTTTTGCAAAAATTGAAAGATGGACTTCTCCGTATGGAAAGGCTGTGGGAGAATGGGGACTTATGTCACAAAGCGATTTGTTACAAAAGTTGGAGGAGGTAAGGCCATGGTGTGTTAGTGTGCTGTTGATGTGTAAATGCAGACCATTAATCCATGCTTAAGAGGTTGAAGGGCAGAAGCAGAAAACTGGATCACAGGAGAGAAAAATCACTAGAAAGGGGAGTAGACTGAAAGGAAAGAGTGAAGGGGAGGAAAGACAGAAATGAAAACCGTTGCAGTCCGTTTATATAATATGATATAGGCCACAGCATCATTGCAAATTTAAACACAAAAAAGCAAGAAAGTTGGAGGAGTGTTAAGCTAAGATTGATTTCAGGTGTGTGTGAAGAGGACAGGGAGAAAGATTGGGGATGGGAGACACGCAGGAGGAAAACATCAAATTGGGGACTACGAGGTCAGAGCTGTGCCTGCGCAGCTGCGTGCGCACCCGGGCGCTGCGGGCTCAGGGGCGTGCGGACCCCGGCGCTAGAGATGGGCGCTGAGTGGGGGAAGGTTGCGGGGTGGAGGGTGTGTGTGTGTGTGTGTGTGTGTGTGTGTGTGTGTGTACTGTGATTGGTGATGTCATTGCAACTCAGTGAGCGATGAAATTTAACACCGGCCGGATTTGCTTGGCTCCTCTTCTTCCAGGGGAAGCCGCCGGCCGCAGTCAAAGCTGAGCGCCTGCAGTTGCCACCGGCCCCCTCGCACCCGCTTGCTTTCTCGAAGTGGGTGTGTGTGCTTGTCTGACAAATGTTCGGGCGCGGGTTGTTTCCAAGGACTTCCCCGCCCCCCTTCATCTCCTTCCCTCCCCCCATCCCTTTCTCCTCCCAGGCCCGAAGCAGAAGACTCCACTGGAGTCACAGAGTCG